GAAAACTATGAGAACCAAGAGGCGTCTCAGCAGAGCGGCCATCTCCAGGATGAATATTATAAAAAGGAAAGTTTTCCTTCGCACCAGCACTAACCAGTGTGAAACATGATGGGTACAAAGATCCTATTCCCAGTTCAACAAAACAGGCAATCAATACACAAGAAAGAACACAGCTTAAATGCACTCAATTAAGCAAGCCAGGCCTTGCAGGAAGAAAACTTTCTCATTCCATGTGAAATGTTATTCCAAATGGATCCGAATTTTCAATATAAAAAGTGAAACCACAGAAGTACTAGAAGAAAGTGCAGATGCAGGATTAGAAACTAAATTGTTAACTGTGCCTGGAAAAGGACTTTCGTAACATGACATCAAGGCTGATATCGATGAATGTGAAATGATATCGATGAATCTCACTGCAGAAAAATTAAACACACCTGTACGAAAAAAAATCTAGCAACATTACAAGATAGACGGCAAACGCGAGTGGGGGAGTGTCCAACGGCAAGCCTCTACATACACGGAACGGCGGAAAGAGAAGGACTGCAAACATCCCAACAGGAAGTGCAGGTTGGGGGTAGGCGCCAGCGGTCCACAAAAAGGAGAATACACACGCCCCAAACGTGAAAAGTGGAAAGACTGCCAATCTCAGTGGTAACCAAAGAAACTCAGAGCATTGACACGTCTTTTTATCTTTTAGCTTGTCAAAAAATAAAAATATCACGAACACCCAGAGTTGGTGAGAGTTCAGGGAAAGGACTTCCGTGCCTCCTCGAGCAAGGCAACAGTGGCCCTCCCTCCCTGGCCCGCTCCGCTGAGGGCAGGTCTCCCCTGTTGCCTCTCCTCCAGCCACTCCTGTCCTTCAGTTTACTTACTCATGTTTCCTTGTCAACTGTCGTCTCCCTGCTTCGCCCTCTGTCAGTTACCCCACACTTGCAGCAGCCACATCTACTGGTCACCACCATATAATAAGCACCCAGGACAGCAGCTGGCTCATGGAGAGACCACTCCCGTCTAGAGAGCTGGCCAGATGTATCAAGCTACTTTACACGGGCACTCCTTCAACTGGGAAATGTCATTCCTAGGAATTTATCCTAAGGAAATAATGCCAAGTGCACAAAGACGAATATACAAAGATGTTCATTGCTAAACTGTTTACCAGCTGGTGTCTGAGCCCCACTCCCCCACACTGACCCTATCCCAACAAATTCAACCCAAATTTCTGGGGGCGGGGCCCAGGCATTCGTCGTGTAAAAGAGCACCCATTGAGTCTAGTTCACAGCCAGGGTTGAGAACTGCTCTTGCAAATTTAGCCAACAAATGATGCTGTAGGTTTATGAGGCGTTTGCGACACACTGCTAAGTGAAAAAGCAGGTTAGGACAAAATCATATATAGAGTATGATCCCATTTCTGTATCAAAGAAAAAAGTGTGTTTCTATATGGCTGTAGGTGTGAGTACATTCCTAGAAAAAGGCTGGGGAAGATGCACACAGGAGCATTCACTGCAGAGATCTCTTGGTGCTAAAGTTACAGATGTCTTGGTTTTCCCACTTAGGACAATTTTAGGAAAGTATAAAATTTTTACGAATTTATACATTTTAATGGTTCTATAATTAGGAAAAAACAAACTTTTTTTAACTTTAAAAAAGATGACTTAGGACCTGGCAGCCTGCTGTCTCACCTTTGTACCCACCACCCAACAGCACATGGCCAGGCATTCTACAGGGCCTCCCCGAGCTCCAGGTTTCTCTGGGCAAGGCAAAGCTCCTCAGTGGTTAGCCACTCCCTACAAGTAAGCTAATGCCACATTAGGTTTGAACAAGCCATGATTGGCTGAGACGGGCGGGTGCCCCGCCAGGTTACCAAGCTGCTCAGCAGGAAGGTGCTGGAACCCCCTCTCAGTACCACCCAGCCTCCTGATTTCACAGGGGGGTGCCAAGACAGAGAAATGAAGGGCTTGCCCAACACTCTGCAGCTCTGGGGCAGAGCAGCAGAAGAAATGCAGGTTCCCTAGCAAGTTCAATCCCTGAAATCAACCACTCTGGAAAGTCAGAAAGGGGCTAGAACGAGAGGATGTGTGGGGTAAAGGGAAGAGGAGAAGCTGCCCCTTGGTTCTATGTGAGGAAGAGACACAGAGAATTCTGGACACGCACCCAGCACCTGCCAAAGGAGGACAGTGGCTCCAGATTCCAGAGGACCAATAGGGACAGAGGATGTTTAAGATCTTCCATGTCACAACTGTGCTGTTTAGTTGAAATTTACCTGGCACTGTTAAATTTCCCTCTTATTTTCTTTTTTCTTTTTCTCTGCCTACCAAATTTGATACACTAATTGGGTATTTTAATCTAAAAAATTCATCAGAAGGTCTCACATTGCCATAGCAACCGTGAAGCCCCAGTCAATGCAAGTCACCAGCACTGCAGCGTTGCCTCTTTCAGCCCGCTCTGCAGCGTGCCCAGACAGGGATGGGACCCCTGTCTGGAAGGTGGCAGGGATGACCGCACCCCCTAGCCTGGAAAGAGGTGGGGTTGGGGCCATGGCCCCCCTCTGGAGACACTCTCCTTCCTCCTTTCCAAACCCCATTCCTTCCGTCTAAATGAACCCCGTGGCCTTCACACCAGAGCTGCGCAGTGTTCTCTCTGCAAACATGTGCTGTGACTCTCCAGCCATGTGTGCCCTGACCATGCATGACACGCAAACGCGGAATCAAAGCAGAGCCAAGTGGCCGCCCACCCACATAAGGTCCTCAGTCATCAGGCCCAGGGCCAGGCTTGGCCTCCTGATCTCACCAGGTGAAGCCCGGATAAGTCACGGTCACATGTTCAGTTTGGGGATGCGACCACCATGTCCAGTCACGAGCAAGTGACACACACCCTAAAGAGCACGTGTAGCCAAAGTCAGTTACCCATCCCCCACAAGCCCAAGTGGTTAAGACTCAGCACTCCCACCACCATGGCCTCAGTCTCTGTCCGCCTCAGGGAACCACACCACCCATCTGTCAGTTGTCATACTGTGGTGGCTGCACATGGCTGTGATGCTGAAAGCTGTGTCACCAGTATTTCAAATACCAGCAGGGAGTCCCATGGTGGACAGGTTTCAGCAGAGCTTCCAGACTAAGAAAGACTAGGAAGAAGGACCTGGCCACCCACTTCCAAAAGAATCAGCTGTGAAAAGCCTGTGAAGAGCAGCAGCGCGTTGTCTGATAGAGCACCAGAAAGTGAGAAGATGGCGCAAAAAGACCAGGTAGGGTTCCGCTCTGCCGTCCACAGGGGCACTAGGAGTCGGAATCCACTCCAGGGCACTAACAACAAGAAGCCCAGAACAGCCGGTACCTCTGCCAACCTACTATACAGGCAAATGAGGGGGCGGGGGGACGAGCAAAATGACTCAAATCAGATTGCAAACATCATAAACAGACCCTGTGCTCTTTTTGTCTTTTTAATGACAGTTGAATTCTGAGACATACACTAAGAATAAATAGAAAACCTCTACCTTAAAAAGCTGAAGGCAGCCTCTGTGCACCAATTCCCCTATCACTGCAGGCGCTGCCTTGGAGAGCACAACGCTAAGACACGCAAGAGCGGCCAGCCCTGGGCTGACACCAGCAAGTGCTGAAACCAGATGTATTTCTCATCGTGCAGCCAGAAGCTAGATGCAAATCTGCCTCCTGATCAGTTCCCAATTCACTCTGGGCTTTCCTTACTTTGAATATTTATGTTAAAAACAAAACATGTGACGAATGAAACACTCCCAGCAGTGAGTTCTGCTGTCTCAAAGTTCAGAACAAAATGACCGGCAGGCCCAGAACACACCGTGTGGGTGTGGCTGGCCCTGAATACCCCTCCCCTGCTGAGGTGACCAGGCTCAGCCGAGTCCAGCAGCCCCGGGCAGCGCATGGGCAGGCTCCCCATCACTCTCTCTGACAACTGCCGGCACATGGCCTGCATGTTCACAACACTGGCCTGAGGTTGTATTATTGTAATTTCCTATAATGCTTAAATTATTTATCAGAGAGAAATAGCTTGGGCTCTTGAGCTGAGCTGTGCTCTAAAATTATCAAAGATCCACCATACCTCTGCAGGCTGCCTACAAACGAAAAATGCATATTTCAACTATTTTAAGAAAATGTCAAAAAGCATCAATGTGTCATCACTGTACCATTTAAATGATCTGCGTGACATCTGTAGAAAAGAGCTGCATGTTTCATGTGAATGTATCACAGTGCCCCAGGGGTGGACACTGCACAGCCACGTTCCCTGTGGGTGCTAAGTCAATGGTCCTGGGGCCCACCAGGGCCCCAGGAGGTGTGCCTGCAGGGCCTGCTGCCTGTCACCTGCTTTCCACCGAGCCGACCTCTGCGTGGCCACCCAAGGGACACCTGTGCTCCAGGTGGGCAGCTTTTCTTGCAGGGGGACCTAAGATCAAACTTGTTCCCTAAAGAGCAGACCTTTGCACAAAGGCAAGGCCATCTCTGCGCACATCTGAGTGTAAAGGTCGGGCTTGGCGCCACGCGACACCATCACTTGGGAGCCAGAGAGCCCGACACCATCACTTGGGAGCCAGAGAGCCCGGAGGGCAGGGCCCCGGGCGCCACCTGTGGGGCAGGCATCTCGCTTCGCAAACTCGGCACACCACACGTGTAGAGTGACAACTGAGCCCGCACATCGCGCATAAAAGGAAAATAAAAACCCACAGCCTTCACCGCAGCAGGCGCCGTGGCGCTAAGCCCCGAGCTACCCGGGCGACAGACACGCCGCCGGGGGACACGGAGGACCCAGGCGGGAGCCCCGGACGCGCGTGGGCACCGCAGCCACGGTTCGCGAGTTTCCTCGGAAACCGAAACGCCCCGGGACGCCTTCCCACCCAGGCGACCACGGTGTCCGGACGCGAGGAAATCCTACCGCCGCAGCCGCCCTGCGAGAGGGCGTGGGGTCCCCCGGTCGCGCGTGTGCACGCTGTCCCCGGGAGCGGCCCGGAGTCCCCGCCGTGCGGCCGCACTCACCGTCCTCCTTGTCGTCAAACACCGGCCTCCGCGCCGTGGCCGCCGACATGGACGAGCCCATCCTCTTCTTCCACTTGCTCCACGCAAACAGGGGGCGCGGCTGCGCGCGGGCATCGCCCGAGTCCCGGGCCCGGGGCTGGCCGGCGGTGGACGGCGGCGGGGTGGGGGTCGCGTCGGGGCCGGTGGGGCGCGCGCGGCCGGGGGGCGGCGACCCGGGGGGCGCCGCGGCGCTGCTGCCCCTGCGCTCGGCGCCGCTCCTCATCGCCGGGCCTGGGTGCGCGGCGCAGCTGGAGCCGGGTGCATGGCCCGCTCGCCGGGCCGGGAGCCGGAGCGGGAGCGGCTGGCAGCGCCCGCCGTGCGCCCCAGCCTTGGCGCTCGCGGGTCCTGATGTCGGGCGGGCTCCCGGGACTGCAAGCGCGCGGAGGCGGGGCCGGGGCGGGGCCGGCGGGAAGGAGGCGGGGCGGAGCCGGCGCCGGGGGCGGGGCCGGGGCTGGCTGCAGTGCCGGGTACCCACCGCCCACCTCGGGAGGGGCGGGCTCCGAGGGGGCCGCGACGCCGACTGACAGCAAGGAAGAGAACGAAGGAGGGGCTCCCAGGGACGGGGACAGCTCCGCCCGGCACGTCGGCGGGGACTCGGGGGTCCCCTTGGGCCTCCCCGCCCTCGCTGACTTCGTGAAATAGCCTGCGGACCGCCGCTGCCGGACCTAGGGAGCCTCAAACTTCATCCCGCGGCTCTGCGCTTCGCGAGGCCGCGCTGGGCCTTGGATGGGGCGGCGGGAGGCGGCTGCCCTGGGCCCGAGGCCCGGTCGGGGTCAGGACGCGCAACCTCACGGTCCCGGCCCCGGTTCCGATCCCGCCCTCAGGCTGCAGGCGGCGCGCGAGGCTGCGCCTGGGGAAGAGGGTGGGAGGGGGCGGGGGAGGAGGGGGCGGGGCCTGGTGCGAGCCCCTCCCCACGCGGCAGCCCAGAGCCCGGTTGCGAGCGCACGCGCACATGCCCAGGGGCGCGCCCGGGGTCGCCAAGGCCCTGAGCGCGCGATCCCGCGCTCTCGGGGTGGCCTTAGCTAGGTCCCAGGTTCCCCTCCCAGCTCAGCCGCCCGGGCCCTGGTCCAGCAGCCCCTGGAGCAGGTCCGATCCCTTCCGGGGACCGTGTGCCCGACTCGCCCTGGGTTCCCTGGCCTTGCCTAGATCCGACAGAGGCCTTGCCTCTGACCGCTGGGCTCTCCACCGTCTTCGCGGAGTATTTGGGGGGCGTCAGGCGCGTCTTGACCTCGATGCGCCTCCCCCCAGCTCTCACGGCCAGGGGAGACCACGCGCGTCAAGCGCTGAGCTCAGCTAACGCCCCAGGAGAGGCTCTTTCAATATCACCTAGCTCCCTGCGCCTGACACTTGTCACTGAAGAATCATTTGACTTTGGCTTTTGGCAGCCTGTCTCCTTAGGTTCTGCCCTCTAGCCAGGCCACACACCCGGCTATTCCTTCCTCCTGCGTCAAGTCTTGGAAGGGTTTTCTGCTGCCCCACGATGAGAGCCGACGCCCCCCTGACTGTCGGGCTATGCGCGGTCCCCAGGCCCTGCGGGTGTCTGCCGCCGCCGCCGCCCCTCCCTCCGCGCACATCCTTCAGCCGCGCTGGCTCTGCCTTGCCCTCGAAGCCCCTCACCTGGCTCGCCCCCACCCGCACCCGCGTTGTGGTACTTAGGCTTGGCCGTTCCACTTCCTGTCTCCTTCGGCCATGGTAGGGCTACACTCGTCCCCCACCCAGCTTTTGAAATTCAATGTGGCCCCTTGGACCTGCTTGACCAATGAAATGTGAGCAGAGGTGACCTGCGTCATTTATGGGCCACTCTAGGGACCAGTGTCCGACTGGCCAGACATACCCCCTTGGCTAAGAGGAAGCCGCCATCACTTGGGGACCACCTGCCTACTAGCCATGGACATGTAGAGCAAGGGAGAAACAGCCACTGTGGTAAGCCATTGAGATTTGGGGCTATTTTTCCCGCAGCATAACCTAGGTTAGCCCCACTGACGTCTACCGCAGATCTCCCTGCCTGGGTGACGCGCGCATCCGGTCTCCAGTTAAACTTTGCAGAAGTTCCCCGTCCCCGGGCGCCGAGACTGCGCTCGACCTCCCTCCACTGAGCTCCCAGCTCTCCATACTTGGCTCCCTCTTACAATTTGCTCTGCCGGTGGGACGTCGAAGTTGCTAGCAGCGCGCCTGCACAGAGGAGGTACTCCGGAGGAACTCATCAGGTGCAGGAGTGAATGAACGCAGGAACGCTGTTGAAAGAAGGCGCAGAGGCAAGGTGTGAGCCAGGGCAGGCTGAAGTGAGGGGAGCACAGTGTGCGCAGGAGACGGAGAAAAGGCAGGCAGCTGCCTCGGCCTGGAGCAGACCAGGTTGCACCCCACTACAGTCGACTGTGAAGTTCCAGGGGTCTGGGAGGGACTCAGGCTGGAACGGACGCCAAATGTGAGTGGAAAGGGAGCGGTGAGGCCGACAGGGCATCCCTGGGTGCCCCTGAGTGCCCACACGGATCAGGAACGTCAGCTCCGTGAGGGCAGGGACCTCTCATCCAGTGACAGGAGACCATCAAGGAGTCAGTAACCAGGTGAATAAATCCACAGCATCCAGCACATGAGAGCACACAGAGGGGATCATGGGCAGTGGGTGATCATGGGATGGCTTCAGCTGGGGTGGTCGGGTAGGGGTCTCTGAACAGGTGACCTTGTTGCTGGGCATTTACAGGAAGCCCTTTGAAGGTCCAGGGCCCAAGAGCTGCCAGGAGTACTGGCCCTGAGGTAGAAACGAGCTAGTGTGCGAGGACAGAAGGGGCCAGGGTCACTGGGGGGCAGCGGGTGCCCACTGAGTCAGGGAGTGTGCAGGGCGGCTGGGGGCTGATTCTGTATTCCAGTCTCAGTCCCTGAAACCTAAGCACAAACGTGCACTAGTCTGTAATTCGTGCACAAAGCCGTGCTTCCAGGGGGGCTGCCTCTGACACTGAGTCAGTAACTGTCACATAACTGGCACCCAGCACAGTCTCTCCAGTTTTCATGTGTACTTTGTCTTATATCATCATTCTGAAATTAACACTTGTGGGCCTCCCACACTGCCGGCACCTTTGTAAATAATCCTTTCATTAGACTTCCCTCAGATGGCCTAATTTGAATGTGCTGTTTCCTGCTGGGAAAGATACCAGAACCAGCCCCAGGAAACAGGAAACAGAAGTTCAAATGGGGTTCGGATCCTAGGCTGCTCACCTACATGGAGAATCCATGGCTAGCCTCCTTCCCAGCAGGAAATGGAAAACAGGTCATCCCTGGCTGTGGTGGGACGTGGGACGAAGGGCATGTGGAAGGCATGGACCTGGAAATCAAGTGCTGGGTACTTGGTTGCTGGGTGACAGAATTGATTCTCCAGGCCGTGGCCGCCTGGCTTCTCATGATGACTCCAGAGAGCATGAACAGGCAGGGAGAACACGAGTGGAAGACAGGAGCCACATGCCACTTGGAAGGAATCCTTCACCCTGTTGTGATGGCACCAGGGCTGAAGCACAAAGTCAGTGCTTAACTCCGTGAGCCTCCTAATGTGTCAGTTCCCAGGGCTGCTGTGACAAAGTACCACGGACTGGGGCTGAAAACAACAGAAATGTATTCTTTCACAGTCCTGGAGCCAGAAGTCCAAAATCAAGGAGTCAGCAGGGTTGGTTCCTTCTGGAGGTCCTGAGAGATAATATGTTCCAGGACTTCCTCCTAGCTTCTGGCAATCCTTGGCATTCCTGGGCTTGCAGACGCATCACTCCACTCTCTGCCTCCATCATCACATCGCCTTTTTGTAAGTGAACATGAGTGTGGCCATCTTGTTACTCTAAATGGCCCAGCCCCTCCTCTGTGTGACTACTCGCTGCTCTGCACGGACTCTAAAAAGATTCACATTCTCATGATTTACGGCCTCTGCTTATGTATGTACTCCCCTATAGCTTGATAAATTAAAACTTTATTCTGTGAGTTTCTCTCCAGGAACAGGCTGACCACAGGCGGGAAACACACCTACAAGAAATTCATCATCACTGACAGAAGAAAAGAACAATGGAAGACCCTGGAGTCCATCCTGCCTGAAGGCCCACATTCCTAAACCCCCTCCTCACGGCCCACTTTCCCCATACAGCTGCCTCAAGATTCTGGAATCCTTGGAGATGGTTTTTCTGAGACGTTAGTCTGCCATCTTCCTGATCACGCCGGCTAATCGAATTAAAACTCCCTTTCTGATGCCTAACTCACTGTGGTGAATTGGCTCACATGGCAGTAAGCAGAGGGGCCCATTGCTCAGTATCATTTCCATCTGTGTATTCCCCCCTTTCTTTCCATTATAAGGACTGTTGTCGTAGGATTTAGGGCCCACCTTAATGCAGGATGACATCATCTTGAGATCCTCAACTTAATTACATCTGCAAAGACCCTCTTCCCAAATAAGTTCACATTCACAGGTTCTGGGTGGACATACCTTTTGGGGATCCACCATTAAACCCACAGTCCACCCTTTGGTCCCTCAAAACCTATGTCAGTCTCAGGACATAGTGGCCTAGTGGTTAAGTTTGGTACACTCCGCTTCAGCAGCCCATGTTCAGTTCCCCAGCACGGATCTATACTGATCGTTGGCAGCCATGTTGTGGCAGCGACCCACATACAAAACAGAGGAAGATCGGCACAGATGTTAGCTCAGGGCAAATCTTCTTCAGCAAAGAAAAAAAAAATCTATGTTCATTCCATGTGCAGAATACATTCACCACATCCAACGTTCCCCAAACATCTCACCATTACAGTAGCAACTGTCAGTCCAAAATCTCATCTAAATATTATCAGCTCAAAAGTCCCAAGGCTCATCATCTTAATCAGGTATGGGTGAGACTCTGGCTATGATCCATCCTGAGGCAAAATTCCTCTTCATCCATGGGCCTGTGAAACTAGAAAACAAGTTATTTCAAAAACAAGTTTTTCAAAATACAGTGGTGGAATGAGCATAAGATAGACATTTCCATTCCAAAAGGGAGAAATTAGAAGGAATAGAGGAGTCGCCAGTCCAAAGTAAGTTCAAAATCCAGCAGGAAAAATTCCATTAAATCTCAAGGCCTGAGAAGAATCCTCTGTGGCTGGGTGCTGGGCCCACAGTGGCCACTGATGTCTGCACCACCCTCAGAGATGTTCTTTTTTCTTCAAGGATAGCACATGTTTGCAGCTGAGCAGCTCTGTCAGCCCAGTTCCTGCTTGTAG